GCGCTGCGCTCCAGCAGCATGTCGCCAATCCTTGCACACCGCAAATGAGGAAGAGCTCTTTGCTCTTCCTGGAGATATAGCGGCCTACCGGCCTCTTGGGCGGTGACTTCCTAGGCCGTGCGGCCTCCCAGCAACCGGTACCTCCTCCCTTTCGGAGGGAAACATCATTGCAGGCTCTGCTATCCTCCGTACAGGCCCTAGACCCGGGCTACTTGGACTGGTACCGGCCTACCGCTATCCTACCGCTACTGGGCCTCTAAAAATGCCAACTTGTTGTCTTCTTCTGCTCGGCCTCCGGTACCCGCCACTTCTACCACTACTTCAGTGGTACCGGCCTACCTGCTACTTGAGTGTTTTTCCCCTCTGCTCTAAGTGTCGTGGGCCTACCCCCGCTACTCAAGTGTTTTCCCCCCTGCAACCCTTCACAGTCACGGCCACAGGTAAGTACCGGCCCTGCGGGGCCTTGCAACCAACAAGTACCCTTGCGGGTCACACGCACACTCAACTGACAAGCACTCAGACAGGCATGCAAACCAGCAGGCACGCACACACACACATACATGAAAATCACAGCAGAATGCGGGAATTTCAGCAAGGCATTCATTCCAGCGGCAAATCCCATAAATCAGCAGTGTTCTCAGTCTGTGTTTTTGGCGGGTTGTTACGCTACCCCCCTCTCAAGAGTGAGGTCCCTTCGAGCGAGTAACTCATTCAGAGTTGGCACAAAATGCATCGTAGGAGTAAATAAGAAAGAGAGACCTCGTAAGTCCGTGAGGAGTCATTTTTGCAACAAATTTAGCAGTCTGTCCCTCAGCGATATGTCGTTCATAAGCGTTCACAACACGGGGAGCACTCTTTAGCAGCTCTTTTCGGTCGATCCAGAAGAATTCAGTCAACAGGTGATAGAGGAAGTGAACGTTGTACTGTCTGTTCCTCCCTCTTCCCTCGTGAGAAACGATTCTGTCTATCTCATGGCCCTCGTTGATAGAGCGAGGTATCATAGGGTCTCGGAAGGGAAAATTCTCATCATCAATGTGTGGGAACAGTTTGGACGCATGAAAGACCGGATACATGCGCAGATGAGGAGGCACGTCAATCACATATAAAGGACCAAAATCATCCCCAATCACCTTTAGAATCTGCCAAGGGCCATAGTACAATGGAAGGAGCTTTCGTGATGTGCCCTCTTCGTCAGAAAACTCAGACATTTTGACCCAAACATAATCCCCTACTTTGAATTTTTCTTCTTTGCGCAACTTGTTAGCATCTTTGATCATGGCATGATTGCGCTTGTTCATGGCTGCAATAACAGCTTTGAGCAAGCGTGCGTACTTGGCATTGTAGCCAGGCATGTCGGGCATCAGACCAGGTGACCGTTCGGGGAACAGATAGGAGAGGGGATTACGCATCGGCCATCCGTATTGCAACTGGTTTGGTGTCACGCTAGTCGCAAAGTGAATGGAGTTGTTATACAGTCCCTTCACTTTGTGCAACTCCTTGTCCCACATGTTTTGATATGGAACAATCAATGCGCAAAGTAGTTGGATGACAATCTGGTTGATCTCCTCGACCAATCCATTGGCTTCGGGGTGTCGACCAGAGGTCTTGTTCAGTTTAATGTCATAGATTTGACAGGTGAAGTCCTTTCAATCTTTGTTAATGAATCTGGTGTCCCGATCACTCACAATAGTTTTCGGTGTGCCAAACTGCAGAATGTACTGCTGATGGAATTCTTCAATGACCAGTTCAGTTGGGGCATGGGGAGGGAAAGGAATCAAGTACATAAATTTGGAGAAACGGTCCACGATGATCATGACTTGTGAGTTTCCTGCCTCACTCACCTTTCCCATGTCCGTGAAGTCGATGGAAATCGACTCACCGGGTCCATCAGGAATGGGGAGGGGTCTCAGCAGGCCATAAGGCTTATGCCTGTGGACCTTGGTTCGTTGACGTACTTGACATTCAACAATAAATTTATGAGCAGATCCTTTTATTCCTGGCCAATCAAACTGCTGCAGAAGACTTCCGTCTTCTCGAAGCCGAATGTCCACTCCGACCATGTGCCAAATCCAAGAAATGAGTTCGGAGAGGCGCATGGTTGGGTACACACAGACAATCAAATTTCCCATACCGGCAGAATACAAGACCCTCGCATTCATGAAAATCAGGCTGACTGTTAGGGTCAACCTTGAGCTGCTCAAGGATGGGACTAAGGTCCGGATCCTTGGCGGTGTGTTCGACCAGATCCTCCTTCAGTTTCCTTCGGAGGTCATACGAACCCACAAGGCAAGTCAAAAACTCAGGGTGACGTGGCAAAGCATCAGCAACACGATTATAACGGCCTTTCTTATGTTTCAACTCAAAGTCGTACACATCAATGTCATGCAACCAGCGGGTCAACGTCGGAGAGAGATCAGTTTGTGTCTTGATCCACTGCAAGGTCTAATGATCTGAGTAGACCTTGAAGTGACGACCCAAGAGGTAGTGCTTTGAATGTGTGAGCGCCTCGCGCAGGACGTAGAGCTCACGCATGTATGTGGAGGTAGCTACCTTGTGGTTGGGCATGCGTTTGCTGTAGTATTCGAGTGGACGCAGGCCATCACCATCATCTTGTTGCAGCACTGCACCAATCCCAAACTGACTCGCGTCGGTAGTGACTACGAATGTGAGGTTGGGATCCGCAATGCGGAGTACAGGACGACTCACCAATGCCTCTTTCAAGGCTTGGAACGCAGTCTCACACTTCTCACACCACGCATAGGCAACATTCTTACTTGTTAGTCTCGAGAGTGGGTGGGCAATGACAAAAAAATTGGGCACAAACTTCCGGTAATATGAGGCCAAACCAAGAAAAGAACGCAGTTCCCGTACGTTCGCCGGTTGAGGCCACTTTCGGATGACCTCAACCTTGGTTGCCTCCGGCTCAAGGCCGTTTGCAGACAACCGATGCCCAAGATAGATGACACTGTCCCTTCCAAACTTTGATTTCTCTAAGTTGAGGTGCAGTTGTGCCTCCTTGAGGACTTGCAAGACCTCCTCAAGGTGCTTGACGTGCTCATCCATGGACTTGCTAAAGATCAGGATATCGTCAAGGTACACAACCACAAACCTGTTGAGTTGATGGCGAAGTACCTTGTCCATGAGGCACTGAAATGTGGTCGGTGCATTCGTAAGACCGAAGGGCATAACGATGAATTTGTACAGCCCATCGCGTGTTTTCAATGCAGTTTTGTGCTGGTTACTCGGATCAACTTCAATCTGGTGGTAACCAAACTTGAGGTCGATCTTGGAGAAGACCTTGCACCCACCTGCCGCATCTAGCAGATCATCTATGCGAGGCAAGGGGTACGCGTTCTTGCGGGTGATACGGTTTAGGCCACGATAGTCAATGCACATCCGGAGTTTGCCTCCTTTTTTCGGCACAAACAGGACAGGTGCACCGAACTCAGACTCACTAG